AGACTCTTTTGTACCTTTACTTTAGTAGCAGTATGGGGTGGGCCTGTAAGTTTGTGCAGGCCAGCAAGCATCTACCTGTGGATAAGCACCCCTTAATCTCTCCAAGAGATTCTTTTGCCATTTGCCTCACTGGTGATGAGGAGAAGCATCATGCCCCCTACAAGCATTGCCCCTACAAGGCAAATAAGTGGGTTACATTCCTAATTGGGATGAAAATTCTCAAGAAAACACTCTCTTTCTATAGTCTTCCCTTTTTCTGTAGCTTGGCCCTGGGTAATAGCCGGAGTTGCAGAACCAGTTTTGACTACCTGTTAGCAAGTCCTATGGGGATGTCTTGTGTCTCTTTTTAGAATATGGGAGTATTTATCCACTGTTTTGAGAACTGGGTTTTGATACAACAGTAACAATACTATTTTTATATTTTAGTGCACACAGTTCCTTAGTATAAGCATTTTTCCCTTCTGATCATGTAACCTGGGGCTAATCAAAGAAAATATCAAGTTTTTAGATTACCTCCTATGTGGTAGAAACTAAACTGAGAATTGTAGAATCTTGAGTTCATTTTGGCTCATTAACCAAATAACTGTAATAGAAATAATATTTAGTTTCTAGGATCTCAGTTTCCTTAGCTATAAAAAGGATTTAGATGAGCCCTTTGAGATCTAAGTTCCTATTTTAATTTTATATCACAAATCTGAATGTGCAAAGGGCAGTAGCAGAATCCATAAAAGTTAAATGATAGCCTTCTGGGAATAAATATTTTTTAACATATATGACAAACTGTTAATATTAATGAGATTATGAACTGTTAAGAAGGACTTGAGTATCCAGTAATCCAAAATTATTAAAGGACATGAACAGAGAATTAACAAAAGGAAAAAATGAAAATTGTTAATAAACAGAAAAATGTTCAACCAGCTTAGGAATCAAAACATGCAAATTAAATCAAAAGTAAGGTGTTTTATCATAGTAGTGAGGATTTTTTAAAAAAATCAATGCTAATAGCCAGCGTGGGTAATGTGGGTAAATTCTTGTATACTTCCAGTGAGAGTGGAAATTGATATTAATCTTTTTGATGGGAAGTCTAAAAATTAAGATGCAAATCTATATTTACTGATATGGAACCATGCTATAATATATTATTAAGTGAAAACTGTATGTATAAGCTTGTTGAGGAAGAAGTAAGAATGCTGTCTTCTATACATAATTACAAATGTGTATGTATACTAAAGAAAACTAGAATGCTAGAGTCCAAAATTTTAATAATGATTATTTCTAATTGGTGGTTTTATGGATGGTTTTTCTGTCTTCCTTATTCCTTTGTATATAGACTAAATTTTTGTAGTATTACTTTTATTAGTTTTAGATTTTCAATAGAAAAATATGTGTGTATTGTTAAAAATTGTTTATTTAAGGTGTTATACATTGAAAAGTAAGTCTCCTTTTCATCCCAACCTCTCCAGCCTCCTATTTCTCTTCCCCAAGGCTACCACTGTGCTGATTTATGTGTTCTTCCGGAGACATTCTATGCTGATGAAGACTTTTTTTTTTAAGATTTATTTCTTTATTTGAAAGATTGAGAGAGCGTGCGCATGTGACAATGTACACGTACAGGCGTGTCTGCTTGGGGGGGGGTGTGCAAAGGGAGAGGATGGAGCCTGACTCGGGGCTGATCTCAGGATCCTGAGATCATAACCTGAGTGGAATCAAGAGTCGGACCCTCAACTGACTGAGCCACCCCGGTGCCCTGCAAACTTTTTTTTTTTTTTTTAAACACATATGGTAGCATAGCTTACAGGAGTCTTTTAGCCCTTATTTTACAATGCATATGAGTACTCATAGACCTGCTTCATTCTTCTGAAACAGAAATAACCTTATACATGCTTATTTATTTATGCATATATGCAAGTATATCACTGAGATCAATTCTTAGAAGTGGAATCACTAGGTCAAAAGAGAAGTACATTTAAAATTGTTCAACACAGTATATGGCTGTTAGAATAAAGGAAAATCACAACTGTGTTTCTTTCTCTCACACCCTGTATCCAGTCAATCAACAAGTGCTGTTGACTCTACTTTCAAAATCTATTCAGTCTGACCACTTCTTACCACCTTCATTTCTGCTACCACTCTTGTTCAAGCCACTTTCTCTCGGCAGGATTATACTTCAGGAACCTCCTACTGGTCTCCCTGTTTCAACTCCTGACTCTTCAACATAGGAGCAAGAGTAATCCTTTCAAAACATGTTACATCAGCCCTCTGCTCCGAGCAAAGGCCAAAGTCCTTACACCTCCCCTTCTCCCCAACAGTCTCTCTGATCTTGGCGATCACTTTCTTTCTTTTTTTTTTTTTTTAAGATTTTATTTATTTGACAGAGCGAGCGCGTGTGCACAAGCAGGGGTGGAGAGGGAGAAGTAGGTTCCCCGCTGAGCAGAGAGCCCAATGTGGGGCTCCATCCCAGGACCTGGGATCATGACCTGAGCTGAAGGAGGACACCCAACCAACTGAGCCACCCAGGCACCCCCACTTTCTTTTTGTTCACACCATAGGAGCTACTCTAGCCTCACGGCTGTATCTTGGCTATATTAGACATGCTTCCATTTCAGGGCTGTTTGCAGTTGCAGGTCCTTATGCCTGAAATATGAATCACTCCCTTGGTTCCTTTAGGTACTTCTCAACTATCATCTTACTGGAGACCACCGTGGGTTTCAAATAATAATCTTCCATCCTCTCCAAAACCTTGTATTCCTTTTGCCCTGCTTTTTAAAAATTATACTCCATTGCACTTAACCACCATATTAATATTTTGTGCTGACTACTAGCCACTTGTGGCTATTGACCACTTGAAATGCTAGTCTAATCAAGGAATTAAATTTTTAATTATATTTAACTTTAAATTTAAATCTAAAAACTGATAGTTCAGTTCCTAGAAAACTTTTAAGTATATTTGAACAACTTGGATATGTGAATCTACTTTTTCAACTGTAAATTTTATGAAATCTAAATTCAGATCCAATATTTCCAATGAAAATTTAGCATCCAAATTGAGATGGGCTATCTGTATGTAAACACACACTGGATTTCAAAGACTTAGTAAGAAAAAGAAATGTAATCTCTCATTAGTTTTTTTATTGGTTACATGTTTTAAATTACAGTATTTTAGATATATTGGGCTCAATAAAATACATTATTCAAGGTAGTTTCACCTGTTAACTTCCTATGTTTTTAAATGTAACTACTAGAAAATTTTATGTGTGGATCATGTTATATTGCTGTTGGACAGTGTTGCTCTGTTTACTTACGGGGTTGTTTATTGTGTATCTCTGTACTAGAATGTAAGCTCTGTGGGGGCAGGGGTTTAGTCTGTTCTGATCCATACGCAGTAGGCAGGTATCCAATAAATCTCAGAATAAATGAATAAATTTGAATGAATTCCCCCTTTTAAAAATAGCTACTGTGAATAAAAATAAAAAGGAAAACAAAATTTATATGCATATCCTAGAATCTATGCAAAAAGTTATTTATATAGAATGCTTATAAATAAATAAGATCCAAATAAAAAAAGGCCAAAGTTATGAACAGACACAAATAGAAATCCAGGTGGCTAATAAATATGTAACACAAATTCAAATTTTCACTAAGTCCAAATTAGAATAAGCTATCCTTTGCATAAGAAATTGAGTGAAGATAAAAAAATTATACATACCTCTCTGGAAGATAGCACTGTAGTCTGTATAACTAATCTTAAATTATGAATATTCTTTGACCCACTTTTTCCATATCCAGGAATTTATTTTTATTTATTTATTTTTAAAAGATGTTATTTATTTAGAGAGAGCTGGGGGAGGGCCAGAGGGAGAGGGAGAGAGAGAATCTCAAGCAGGCTCCACGCCCAGCATAGAGCCTGTACAGGGCTTGATCTCATGACCCTGAGATCATGACCTGAACTGAAATCAAGAGGCAGATGCTTAATCAACTGAGCCACCCAGGCAACCCATATCCAATAATTTATTTTTATTGATGTAATCAGAGATGTATAAAAAGATTTTTCTAAAACGTTCATTGCAGCTTTGCACAGTTGACCCTTGAACAATGCAGGGTTTAGGGGCACTGACTCCCACACAGATGAAAATCTATATATAACTTTTGATTTCCCAAAAAATTAACTAGTAATAGCCTATTGCTTACTGGAAGCCTTTCTGATAATGTAAACAGTTGATTAACATTTTGTATATTATCATATACTATATTCTTACAATAAAGTAACACTTTTCTTCAGAAAATGTTATTATGGGGGCACCTGGCTGGCTCAGCTTGGTGGAGCATGGGACTCTTGATCTCAGGGTTGTGGGTTCAAGCCCTACGTTGGGTGTAAAGATTACGTAAAAAGAAAATCTTAAAAAAGAAAAGTAATGTTATTAAGAACATCATAAGAGATAATACATTTACAGTATTATGCTGTATTTATAGGAAAGAACTCACTTGTAAGTGACTTGCACAGTTCAAACCCATGTTGTTCAAGGGTCAACTGTAATACTAGAATTAAAATGAAGCTTAGCATTCAGGTTGTTAGAGTAATCCATAAAGGGAGGGTTCAGGATGGGAAAATATTTTAAAGTTCTGGGTTGGTCAAAAAGTCTGTTTAATAAACCAATTTTTATTTTCAGGTAATGTGTTAGGAATAGGAGATTGTGTGTATACTAAATAAAATTTATTTAAAAATATCCTTTTAAAGTAAGTTTTATTTTTAAAATTTCTACTATGCTGTTTAGCTATATCTCATAACCTTGTCTTTTGCTGGATTTTAGGTTTAAACTAAAATTGTTTAAAATCTTATGATCAGAAAGTAATGACGGATTTATAGTTTTCATTTCTAGTACATTAACCATTGGTCATATAACATCCCAATTTCCTCCACAATAAAAATGGGAAGCTATTTTGTGGAAATAATTTTATATAAATGTGTATTTAATGCTTGTTTCATCTTTCTTACCTTTCAGAATTACCATGAAATTATGACTCGTCATCCTGAGAATTATCAGTGGGAAAACTGGAGTCTAGAAAATGTTGCCACCATTTTAGCTCACCGGTTCCCCAATAGTTATATTTGGGTGATAAAGTGTTCCCGAATGCATTTGCACAAATTCAGCTGCTATGACAATTTTGTGAAAAGTAATATGTTTGGGGCTCCAGAACACAATACTGACTTTGGAGCTTTTAAGCACCTTTATATGTTATTAGTTAATGCTTTTAACTTAAGTCAGAACAGTTTGTTATCAAAGAAGAATGTGAAAGATTTGAATAAGGACTCCAAAGCATCTAATTGTAGATCCAGTTCTTCTCACACTACTAATGGTTGCCAGGGAGAAAAAGAGAGGACCTGTGAAAAATTTGGTGAGTCCACCATGAGTTTTTACCCACCATCACTGAATGGTGCTTCTTTTACTTTGATTGGATTCAGTAAAGGTTGTGTTGTTTTGAATCAATTGCTTTTTGAATTAAAAGAAGCCAAGAAAGACAAGAACATAGATGCTTTTATCAAAAGCATAAGAACAATGTACTGGCTGGATGGCGGTCATTCTGGAGGAAGCAATACTTGGGTTACTTATCCAGAGGTCTTGAAAGAATTTGCACAAACAGGGATTATTGTTCATACCCATGTAACACCTTACCAAGTATGTGATCCAATGAGATCTTGGATTGGAAAGGAGCACAAGAAATTTGTTCAGATTCTTGGAGATTTTGGTATGCAGGTGACTAGCCAAATTCATTTTGCAAAGGAAGCTCCTTCCATAGAGAATCACTTCAGGGTTCATGAAGTATTTTGAGACTACAAGAATATTAATGTACTTGTTCAGTGGAAGGGCAGAAGCACTTTGAGTGTTATAAATTCAGATAATGAGATATATAATTCATAGATACATTGTCAGTTTTGGGGGGGCGGGGGGAAGAAGCACACATTCCTAAAGTAAGTGTAATGTGCAATAGTATTCCTTGCTTGTGAATGTGAACAGTTTTTCTTTGGATGGGGTTAGAATTAGTTCAGTTGAAAAGTAAAAGATGGTTTGTGATAGTTCTACAAGGAGATACAAGACCCTTAAGAATGAAAGTTATGATATAGTCCTTATAAAAGGTAATGAAAATTGTTATTGTTGGAAATAGTTTATTTTCTGAGTATTGTTTGGAACTAATTTTGGTGACACTAACAGTAATTAGCTATTTGGCACTCAAAACTCCATTTCTCTTCAAATAAAGCAAAGGCACACTGTTTTCCGTAATTTTGGAATAACTGTATCCTGCCTCTTATGTTTTATAAATTCATAGTCATTCTTTAATGTGCCACCAAGTGTTTTTTTCTTAATAGTCAAAATATATTTTGTTTCCAAATTTCCAAGAACATGCAGTAGTGTGCAGTTGGTTTTTAAAATCATTACACTTAAGCACTATGGCTTAATTTTTAATTGATGATAAGATAATTTGGAGTTTCTTGACTCTTGGCCAAAAACCAGATCTTTTAGAAAATTGTTTTAAATTGAACGTAATTAGGTATATTGGGTAAAAATATGCTACAGATTTTCATCATATTGGTCTTTTGAAAGAGATCAACTTAGGTGAAATAAATGTGTACCACTCTATTTGTTACTACTCTATTGAAAAGGAGACAGATTCTATAGATCTAAGTCAGTGTTTCTCCAGAAGCATGATTTTGTCTGCCAAAAGAAAGCAGCTCTCTTTGGCCAAAATGCAAAATTATATTGCTATAAGAAAAGTTACAGGGAAAGTTTGAAGACACAAATGATTTAATTTTGGCTCAAAAACTGAATTTGCTTAACACTGCTACATAATTTGGGTGAGGTTTCCTTCTGCTTGTTTTTCTTGACCTAGATAAATACATTTTGAGAAACCAAGATCTAATGAATGTCAACCAACATTGATAGCTGTGTGATTACAATAAAAGGTGAAGTCACTTTTTTATTGTTTATTAATAATTAGCTTTTGCAGGTCATGAAATAATTAAGCAGGGAAGTAACATTGCTGCTTTCAGACTGAAAAAAAAAAAAAAGACACTGAAGCTTAATATCTTAATAACCCAGAGGACCTAAATTTATAAAATATAGAATTAAATGTTAATCTCTTGGTTTCTTCCCAGAATTACATTTTAATGACTTTATAATACATTCCACATATTCAGACTTATAGGAATTCTTACTCACCAAATGCTTAAAAATAACATCCCTTAATTCTATAAAGTACAGAAGAGTATCTCTCATTTTTTCTTTTAAGGACAAGTTAGTTTATATTACTTCAGTTTCTTTAAATACCTGTTTCTTTTGAAACCAAAAATTCCCAACAAGGAGACAAGTCCTGATTCTAGCATTTTATTACCTAATCTTGAAGTATTATGATTGGATGGCTTCTTTCAATGTTTAATAATCCTTGGTTAAATTCATGTGTATCTAATGTTCAGTAGTGAAGGTAGTGAATGCACTAATGAGGGGGGAAGGAAAGGCACTTATTTTTACAAGATTAACTAAAATGGAAAAAGGACTTTTTGCAGAAGGATTCATTTAAAAAATGAGATATTTAAAAATCTGGGTTCTTTAGTCATGTGACTGCTTACCTTGGAATTGTTGTATGTTCAATGTATATTAAAAATAACTCATGGGACACCTGGGAACTGCCACTGCAGCAAAGTGAGAGTGTTGAAAGTAGAAATATTTTTTTGAATGAAAATATATTCCAGTTGATCCATATTCAAATAGTTTAAGACTTCAAATTTGTCTTCTCTACATTTGTTTAAAACTATTGTAAATGTTAGTGTATCCTTTTGGACTGTGCCTTTGTGTTTGTCATGAGAGTGAACTGAGAAGTCATACAGATAATGTGAAAGTTGTTACCGCCACAGCATGAATGTACAATCGTATTAAATTTAATCCAGAGCAGTCTGTTTGGATGTGCTTTATGTTACCAGATTTGTTAAAACATCAGATTGTTACTTGGGAGGAAGCTATTTCTTTTCACTTTGCTGGTTTAGGTTTCTATATGTTTTCATTAACTCTCCATGTTTCTTCATATGAGCAACTTTGAACCTTTCCTTGTAAGAATACATTTCTTTTTCATTTACATTTCAACTTTAAATTGCTCCACAAAAATTTGCTTTATTTCCATTTCTTCTGTTAAATTTCTTGGAGAAAAAAATCGCTCAAAATAAGTTTTTCCTTTTATGTGCTAATCATTTCAGGTATCTGTATTCCTTTTGCTGTAATTAAGAGACTTAGAATATGGTGTGATCTGTTTTTCATTTCACTCATAGAATATCTAAGCACCCATCAAGGGCAGGAAAGATCTAGGCAGAGACAAAACAGTCCCAAGCATTTGAGTATAGAAATGTGTAACAGACCAAGGCTTCAAAGTGAAAATAGGAAACAAAAGGTAGTATTCTTAAAAGAACTATTCTGTTAGACTTAAGGGCCTTTAAGAGAAACATGTTTTAGAGGATAAGATATATATGTAGATAGACTCCATCTGTAAATCAGATTGGTCTTTACAAAGGCAGAGAGGCCGAGCAGCTCTTAGTGGTAGAGACAGGCACTCACTCAGGATGTCATTTTAGTATCCCATTTAATGGAACTTTAAAAAAAATAGAATACAACTTAGGTGTATTTAAAACACCCCAATAGTCGTGGCCTGTATGCTTGAAACAAGACTTGAAGGTAATAGCAGGGATATGTGGGAGACTGCCAATCTGTATTAGCTCCTCCTCACTACATGTGTTTCTTAGTACTGGAGGAAGGAGTCACAGCAGAACAGCTCCAACTCCATCCAGACCTGCACTCCAGCTTCCTGCGGGGGGGTTTGTTTTGTTTCTTGTCAACTTCTTAGATGCCTGTTGGCAACTTTAGATAGGTGAGAGAAAAGCCTCCCTACTAAGGTTCTTCCAAATGTTCACATTGCTGCTGTTCAAAAAGATGGAAAGATACAAAATAAGCCTTGTTGACTTTATTTCCCTTTTAAAAAATATTTTATGAGTGACAAGTTTTAATTACTGAATAAATAGAATTCCAATGTAATTATGTGCCAAGACAAACACCGTTAATGTTCACGAAAAACTAGTATTTATAGTCTACACATGTATTTTAAAAAGTTATTTTGAAAGAGTGATACATAGAGGGGCAAAAAAAAAGGTCAAATAATAGACAACTGCAGATTCCAGACTGCCCACCTAATTTGTCTACTAGCTTCTCAGAGGCAATCACTACCACTGGTTTCTTGTGTATCCCAGCAGAGATAATTCTATGCATATACAAATGTTTACTTTCAGAATACCTTTGTTTTACACAAATGGCAGCATACTATACCCATAGTTTTCAACCCTTTTCTCATTTAATTACCTTGGAAGAATTTCTTGCCAGTACTACAATACCTCTGTCTTGTTCTTCTGCTGCATAGTATTCCATTTTTATATTACCCTCTGCTCTCTACTTGTTCACTAATTTTATTTTGTATCCCTTTGTCTTACTCTGTATCTTTTGTCCGTGTGGTACAGTGAGTTGTTTTGCTGACAGAGGAAAAAAATTCCTTTGTGAATCAGGTCAAGCCCCCAAACTGTAGCCAAAGAACAACAAAGAGATGAGCTGCACCTAAGGGAGAAAGCATGGAGAATGATCTGGTCACAACTGTTAATTCCAGTTCTATCACCCAGCTGTGTAAGCCTGGACAATCACTTAAGCAATCTGGATTGATAAAATGATTTCTAAGATTCCTTTCAGCAATAAAGTTCGAAGATTTGCAACTTCCTGAGAAGTTGCAGCTAACACATTCTGTTTAATATTTTATACATTCACAACATCTCATTTGGTCTCAGGTCAGCAAAAAAGATAAAAGTATTTTGCATTTAAAGTAAACACTCTAAAATTAAAGATTATGACCAAGGAAATAATTTGAAAACTTCCAAAGGGTTCACTTCTAGTTTTCTAGATACTATATATAATACTGCAACAGGAGCCATCTCAAATCTGAAAGCTAGCATCAGCCATCAACTGTCCTTGCCCTGAATTATCTCTTTGTATTTTTGCAGCAACCCTAAAAAAATACAAGCTTAAAGATGAGGAAAATAAGCTTCATAAAGATTAAGTTAACTCACCTAAGGTCATCCAGTTTGCTTCCCAAATAAACTGAATTAAAATGAATATTCATGGAAAGATTATAATCTCAGTTTTACTTCCAAGTTTTCTACATGACTCTGGATATATACTTCGCACTGATTCTCTCACTGGTTTTTAAAAAAAGAAACAAAACCAAGGAAGGTTTATTTAAAAGCTGACTATAAGTACTGTTCAAACTAACAAAAGTTTTTGTCCTATTTTTCTTCCCAAAGGAAAAGGAATCATTGAAGAATTTCTTTGCTTAATCTAAGAAGTAACCAAAAATGAAAAAAAAAATCTAATAATTAAATCTGGCTAATGTAACAATTCCTTTTCTAACAGACCATCTTTTCACTTTTGTTGACCTGAGTAACTTCAATATCTCTTCCTAAAGACACCTAGGAAGTTCAGAATAATTTTTTATATATTTTCCTTTCTTATTATAATCTGCTTTTTATACCTGAAACTAATCCAACTCCAAACACAGGATATGAATGGATAAATTATTTTAAAAGAGAAAATTATTTTCTCCATAATTAAAATGCACCAACTTGATGCACTCAGATTACTTTAGATGAGCACATTTGTGTTCAGCAAATATATCTGGTCTTTCTTCAATGACATTGCAATTGAATTACTAGGTGCAAAACAAAGAATGGCACAGATCCACACACAATGGCTCA